GAAGACGAACAAGAAAGTAGTTTTTCATTGCTCTATTTTATAAATAATGCATTATTAACTATATGAAGTTTCAATAATGCAAAGTAATGAAGATGTGCATCTTTTAAAGTTCCTCAATTTGTTCCTTGAGATTTGCAACATCTGAATAAGCCCAGGTAATGACTCTTAAAGGACCACTATAGTGCCAGGAAAACATACTCCTTTTCCTGGCACTATCGTGCCCTGAGGGTGCCCCCACCCTCAGGGCCTTAATCCCGCCGGGCTCTAAGGGGTGGAAGGGGTTAAATTTACCTCTTTCGCCAGCGCCGGGCGGGGACTCTCCTCGTCACCGGCTGAATGCGCATGCGCGGCACGAGCCACACGCGCATTCAGCCAGTCCATAGGAAAGCATTCACAATGCTTTCCTATGGACGCTGGCGTCTTTTCACTGTGAAAATCACAGTGAGAAGCGCCTCTAGCGGCTGTCAATGAGACAGCCACTAGAGGCTGGATTAACTCATATGTAAACATAGCAGTTTCTCTTCTGTTTATATAAAAAAGGGTTAATCCTAGCTGGACCTGGCACCCAGACAACTTCATTAAGCTGAAGTGGTCTGGGTGCCTATATGTACAATAAGGGAGAGGGCACTCTCTTGCTTGCATTGTACAGAGAAAACTTTATTCTTGGACTGCCCTTCAGATTTGAGCTGGATCTCCCTTTTTTTCTTTGTCATCAGCAGGTACTCATTCCTTTTCATTGCTATGCAGTCTCATAAATTCTAACTGTAACTTGACAAGGATGTTGTTTGCCAACCAAATTTCCATTTATTATAAGGGAGGTTTGGATTGGATTGGTTTAATAAAAAGATCTTAATCCTGATCCCTTTAGAGTTGGTCAAAAAAGCACTATACTATTTTGGGATAATTAAATCTATACGTGCTACTATAGAGTGGGTTATACCTGGCTTTTATTGAGCTTTTTATGTTTTTTTGTTTGTTTGTTTGTTTTTTTTAATATGTTCAAAATGTTGTTTTTATTAATACTTTCTAAATTATTATACTGAATAACATGTTAAAATTGTATTTAATTTCTTGAACACAGATTTTTTTTATTTTTTTATTTTGTTACTGTAGCTTGTCTCTTTGAAGGTATATCTGTTATTTTTCTTTTCAGAGTTCAAGGCAGTTAGCATCTCGATTTCATGAACAATTTGTTGTACGGGAAGATCTTATGGGTCTTGCGATTGGTACTCATGGAGCCAATATTCAGCAAGCTAGAAAGGTTCCTGGTGTAACTGCAATCGATTTGGATGAGGACACGTGTACATTTCATATTTATGGAGAGGTATGATTTTCAGTTAGTCAATATATACTTTGTTAAAGTCATTGAACACTACAGCATTTCTGTATATAGATGGTATGCTTTAGTAATACAAACCTACCTGGCCTCTACTGGGGTGTGGATAAGGCAGAGATTACACACTTACTTGTAGTCATACCCATTCATAAAAGCAATGGAAGCCCTGATAGACTAAAATCTGTCAGCCAATCATCCATTGTTTTCAGGCCAATACTTCTTAATTCGCCAAAACAGCTGAAAGGGCAGCATCAGGGGATTCCAGACACTTTAAACTGTTCAATGAGACGCAGAAACTATGCCTACACTGTCCCATTTAAAGGACCACTATAGGCACCCAGACCACTTCAGCTTAATGAAGTGGTCTGGGTGCCAGGTCCAGCTAGGGTTCACCTTTTTTACTGTAAACATAGCAGTTTCAGAGAAAATGTTATGTTTACAAATGGGTTAATCCAGCCTCTAGCGGCTCTCTCATTGATTAACCCCTTCCTCCCCCCACGGCGCCACGGGAGTGGGACGAGTATGTTTTCCTGGCACTATAGTGGTCATTTAATACATTTTCTGTGCTGAGTTAAAAACAGAGAATTGGGTATATACCGGTGGTTTTTTTTTTGGATCTGATATGTTTAGGCTGTGACTTTATTTTGATTACATTTTCTTTGCAGAGATAGTAATCTAACACAATCAACTTTCAAAGAAAAATAAATTAAAGTATTTATTTTTTAGTTTGACATGGATCAAACTATTTTAAATGTAAATGGTAGGGGCTATGTGCATTTATACACTGGGTAACTCCTAGAGCTTCACTTGCGTTTTGGTTTATCATTTTGTTTTAGTTTTCTTAGAAGTAGAAAAACAAAGACCCCCATGTTGAAATGTATATGCATAAGTATACCATATTTATTTATTTTGTGCTACATTTGTGCTAGTTGACTGCTATAAATGCAAAAAGCAAGCATGCACTGTCTAACTTTTTGTAACAGGAACTGAGACGAATTGGTTATTGTAACATTACACCTATGCCTTCCATATTACCCTGTTGTAAAAAGGTTTCTAGAACCTCATGGTGAGGACTTGATAGTCAGTGCATACTCAAATTTTTGTTCTGATCTGAATAGGTCTGTAAAGCTTTTACATTTATTTGCTCTGTTAGTATCCTTGAACTTAACAGGAGAACTAAAATTAGCAGAGGGATCTTGACCATTTTGTAGTCTTTGTAAGTGTTCACTGTTCCTTTTTGTATGTTGAGCTGTACCTCTACAATAGAAAAGTAATTAACTAATGTGTCATTGTTTTAAAAAGTAAAACAAATTCTGGTTATTTTGTAGGACCAAGATGCTGTAAAGAAAGCCAGGACCTACCTTGAATTTGCAGAGGATGTGATACAAGTTCCTCGAAATTTAGTAGGTATGTACTTATCAGTATTTTCTTTAATGGGTGTTTGTTTGTTTTTAAGCATTATTTAAAGCGCATCATACAGCATGTATTTTTTGTGAACACACCATAGGAATGTTTCTTCCCAGTAGAGTACTTGTGGCTCTATGGCCTTTCTCTGCAGGTTACAGTTGGACATCTGAAATGCAGGTGCCAGGGAAAGCACCTGTGCATTTCTACACACGGCTGAACAGTTCTGAGGTGAAATTCATTCAGTGGTTGTAATGCATTCAACCTGGAATTGTGAAGCACATGCACAAAGCAATTAGATGTTTCACTCCAAATTAAAAAAGAGAAAGGCAAGCTCTTAAGAATGACTGACTCCTCATATGAAATTTTGAGATTGTTTACCCAAGCTGTGGACTTATCCATCCAAAGAACACCTTTTTGGCTAAGATCATGGACAGCTGATACATCCAAATATCCTGGCTAGACAACCTGTTATAATAGATGGTGGATGGCAGGAAATGTCTCCCCCAAAGACAAATAGAACCAGGTGAAGCAGAATATGTCTTTTTTTTTCTTTCTTTTTTTTCTAAAGAACAGTCTTCGTATCAGTATTAATTTTGAAGATCATGGCTTCAAACAGCTGTTTTACCACAGATTTGGTAATTAGGGAAAGGTTTCCGGCAATATCACAGGAATATAAGATGGGAAATTCTACAACTACACCATTGAAAAGAAAGCATGTAAGCCAGATCTAGAGAGGATTCTTGCTTCATATCTGTATTTACAGGGTAAAATTGGATTGCCTCCCTCCTCCTACATCTGTGTTCAGAGTAAATTCGGTGAAATTTGTTTGTCTGGTCAATGAAGTGGACACTCTATGCAGTAATAAGAGTTGTCTCTCTGTCAAGGCCTTATCCAAGAATCTTTATAGTAAAAGAAACTTCTGGCACTTACAAATTCAAGTGTATGTCCAGGAATATCATCTTTGTGTAATCAGGACTTCTTGCAGCCTGTTTTCTGATTTCTGACTGTGAAATCCTAAATTCAAAGAGTGCTGATCTGGACGTAATTACTATCTTGGTTTAAGCTAAAAAGGCAATAAAGTATATATATATCTGTTCCTTTGCAATAATATTGCCTCTTATTGTGGAATGCTGATACTTGGTTGATGTTCTTTAGTTTGTTGTGACTTCCTGGATTATTTAATCATATTTATTTAACAGTTTGGCATGGTGGCCTTTCCTATGAATATTTTTCTTTTGTCACAATCTTTACAAAAACTAACTGGGCCACATAGTGTGGTGCAAGCTCCTTACTAAACACCTCTTCATTAAGTTATTCTGTCCATTTTTATGTAAAAAGCAATTCATCAATACTTTGTAATGTGCAGCAAAGGTTGGTAGCTTTGTAGGGCTAAACATAATGTGTGTTTAAGGACATCCTAGATAAGCATTATTTGACTTAAGTTACTTAAAATATGGCTGATCAGTGATCCAAATATTTATTTAAAATTTTCATCAATCTTATGTATTAATCATATCAGAATATTCTTTTTGTAATGTGATTCTTTTCAAAAAATTTCTAATTGAATTTTGTTTTGTTTTTTCCAGTATATTTAGTATTATAAAATGAAATCAAAAATGAAGAAAAGTAAAATACAAACTGTTTACATAAACAAACATTTGAATTCTACATAAACAATAATACCATTGCGTCATTCTTATTTGTATCAACAATATATTCAGCATTATATAATTAATTCAAAAGATAGTTTAATATATATCTGTCTACCTAAACAAACAGTTGCAGCATACAATTATAACAGTACAGTTACTTCATTATACTGTAGCTATGTATTCTAGTATTTCCTTTACATAAGTTAAGCCAAGTTTTAATCAATTTAGAATAACAGTTCAACTATTAAAAGTTGTAGAAAGTTGTAAAAAAGAATGTTGACTATGTGATAGCAGCCAGTCAGAAACTTTTTATATTTGATGCGTTTGATTCTGGTGGATGTCATTCGTGTTATAATGAAGTCCAGGGTAGCTGTACAATTTTGCTACAAACTTACGAAGAGACATAACATTCATCATTATAAGTTCTAAGCATTTAAAGTGCGATGTTAACATCCTTTTTTCGTAAAACATAGATCACGTTATGTTTTTAATTATTCACAGGTAAAGTGATTGGAAAAAATGGAAAACTCATTCAAGAAATTGTTGACAAATCAGGAGTGGTTCGAGTGAGAATCGAAGCTGAAAATGACAAGAATATTTCCCAAGAAGAGGTATGTGTGGGATGCTTTTTCTGTTTTGACTTTTTTGTTGTTGTTGTTGTTGTTGTTATTATTATTATTATTATTATTATTATTATTATTATTATTATTGGTTTTATTTATTGGATGCAAGTTTCAAAATCGTATGTATTGTACTTTCAGCTTGGTTCTAAATTATTAGGTCATTCACAGGTTAATTCTTAATGTTCTATGTTGGGGGTCCAATTTATTTTGTGTGTGTGTGTGTGTGTGTGTGTGTGTGTGTGTATGTATATGTGTATGTGTGTGTGTGTGTATGTATGTATGTGTGTATATATATATATATATATAGTGTGTGTGTGTTTTATCGATAACACATTTATGTTCCCACATGTACATCACATTCTTCTGATTTTTTTTTTTTAATACAGATATTTGATTTCCTTGACAGCTAATAGTGCTGCTTCTGTTTTACTTTTAAAACTGATAATAAGCAATATTAAAGGAACACTATAGTTACCAGAACTACAGCTTAATGTAGTTGGTCTGGTGAGTATAGTATATCCCTGCAGGCATTTTGCTGTAAACACTGCCTTTTGCTGCTTGGAGACATCTCTAATGGCAGTCACTGACTGCCTCAAGAGGTGCTTCCTGGATCAGTGCTGGACAACGTGTTGAACTTTCCTAAAAGATGCATTGATTCAACAATGATTTTTCTAACACTATAGGGTCATGTATTTCCTGACTATATTGTGTTAATGTAATGTATATTAAACTTTTATCAAGCCAGATAATTTTCTTTGGGGGGTGGGGGGGGGAGGCTGGTTGGTTGTTTTTTGGGGGGCTGCTGTCTTAGTTAAAGATTTAATTATTTTTCTTTCCCTCACAGGGAATGGTTCCATTTGTTTTCGTGGGCACAAAAGACAGCATTACCAATGCTACTGTTCTTTTGGATTATCATCTAAACTATTTAAAGGTAAATATATTGAACTCTAGCTGAAGTTATTCATTTATTTTGATAGTCTGAATCTGATTTATTAAAGTGTTTCTTTTAAAGCAAATCTAGCATGGTGGTACTGTACATATTTTTATGTTGACACATATAACCTAAAAATAACATATTTTAACATCCATATGGGAGTACACATATATGCATACAGACACGTGTTCCAATCTTTAATTATGAATAAAATAATTGTATGTGTTGCTTTCACTTGCACCTTGACTGGATTACATTTTATAAATTGAATGAAGTGGACTGTTCATCCACCATCTAAAGTTTATGGCAGGTCCACTTTTTTGTTTTGTGTCACTGCAGTATAGAGCTGGTATATTCAGGCACATATCGAACCGTTTGACAGTGTCTGTTATAGAAGTCTCAGAAGTAAGACAACATTTTGTGGCAATAAAATAAATGTACTTTCAACTTTAATGAAACACTAGGAAGTGGACCAACTCCGCCTTGAAAGGTTGCAGATTGATGAGCAACTTCGTCAAATTGGAGCCAGCTCTAGGCCTCCCCCCAGTCGCCCAGACAAGGAGAAGGGATATATGAGTGAAGATTGTAGTGGCATGGGACGGGGAAGTCGTCCTTACAACAGTCGAGGACGCAGCAGGCGGGGCACAGGCTATGCCTCAGGTAAGTCTTTTTAATTTATTTTTTATTTTAATGCTGCGCTCTTTGTGTAATCATACGCCGCCGCCTCTTTTAAACGTCATGCGTTTACCACCTTTTGTTCTTAAGTGTCTATCTTCTCATGCTAATTTTGTTCACCTATTGTATGCAATATCTTGCTACTTTATAAATAATATGTATAACTTCTCTTTGTATTCCTAGCACTATAGTATCCCTTTAAACTTTCAAAACACATGAGGCCGCTGCAGTCTCTTGTAGGAAATTGTCAGAATAGGATATTAGAATTTCTAAATTAAAGATACTGTGATAGAGCTTAATAAAAATAACTCTTTTGTAGCCAGGGGAGCAGTAACTAGCACTACGTAAAAAAAATATTTTGTACCTTGACCTTTTTATTCATCGCTATCCCTGTACTCTGATTCGCTGTTTAATTATCCTATCATATTTTAAGCTCCCCCCATCACAAATTCATACACAATATTTGTCAGGAAAGTTTAAAGGCATACACTGTAGTCCCCAAAACAACTCTACCTTAATGAAGCAGTTTTGGTGTATTGATCATGCCCTCCTGTCTCACTGCTCAATTGTCTACCATTTAGGAGTTTAATCACCTTGTTTTTGCAGCCCTCGTCAGATCTTCCTGCATGTGATCCGTATGCCTTCCACTTCCTGTAAAGAGAGCTCTAATGTTTAAACTTTCTGTATTGCACTGTGCGTTTAATTTAGAATTTATCTCCTGCTCTGTTAATGGATTGCTAGAGCATGTCTGAGCCTCCTGTGCGTGATTTAAAGTTTTGTTGTAAGTCACAGCCAGGGGAGGTGTGGCTAAGGCTGTATAAACAGAAGTAAAAGTAATTTTAAATCCTAAATGGCAGAAAATTGAGCAGTGAGACTTCAGGGGCATGATTAATACACCAAAGCCACTTCATTAAAGGAACACTAGTGTTTTTACTACACTATTTAGGTCCCCTGCTCCCCTTAGATTGCATGGGTAAAGTAATTTTACTCACCTTTTCTGTCTCCATTACGGAGTTATCAGTATTGATGATCTCAGCCAATCCAATACGTTCTCTTAGGCAAACATTGTGGGGCTATTGCGCTTGTGCAGCATAAGACTGCACCAATCAGCATAGCCTTATGGAGACCGTTAAGCCATTCCATGCAAGGTGTGGAGATGCTGAACACCTGAGCTTCACAATTTAAGCACTGTACTAGGAAGCACCTCTAGTGGCTGTCTGTGTGCCTGCCACTAGCTGTGTACCTTGGCAGCAATGTAAAAACTGCCTTTTCTCTGCTCAGACTGTAGGGACAGGCTATGGATACCAGAACCACTACATTGCTGAACCAGAACCACTACATAGCTGTAGTGGTTCTAGTGACTATAGTAAAATATAGTAAAATATATTTTGATTCCTATACTATCCCTTTAAAGATAATCATACTCTGTATCATCTGTATCATTTCAATTTTGAATCTGTTACTTTTTGCTACACAATATTTGCATTCCCTTGGCTTTTCTCTACAATTGGGTGTCTAGTAAATATCACCACATAACTGTTTAATTTTATGACCAGAATCTAAAAATAAAGCATGAGATGGCAAATTGAGTTTACCAACCTTTAGGGAATAGAGCCCATACCTTTTTCGAGGGCTGTTGAATCATTTTGTGGCGTAATATTTTGTCAGGTACGAATTCAGAGGCTTCTAATGCTTCAGAGACTGAATCAGACCACCGAGATGAACTAAGCGATTGGTCCTTGGCTCCAGCTGAAGATGATCGTGATAACTATCTACGAAGAGGAGATACACGTAGACGTGGTGGAGCACGGGGTCAAGGGTTAAGAGGACGTGGAGGCTTCAAGGGTAATATTTTGCATTTGTTTTTTCCCTCATATTGTAGAAATATATGAAGATCATTGGAAAACTTCAAAGCAAAAACGCACTGATAGCTGTAGATTGAACAGTAAGCACATTAAAACAGTGCATCCTGTCATACCAAACATGACTTCTTTGTATTGCTGTTACATCATCTTTGCAAAAAAAAAAATGGCAAATTAATGTTTTCTACAAAACAAAAAAGGCAACACTATTGCCACAGTAGGGCCCATTCATGCATCTGCTCAGCTTGGCATGAGTCGAATTTGTAGTCATATTGGAGACAAACGCAATAACCAGACTTTCAATTTGGTTGGCAGTCTAATAATCACAATGTGTATAACAATTACATAGGTAATGTAGTTATATTGTTTAATTCATTCTATGAACTTGCATTATTTTAATCATTAGCATATATTGACACAGGACATACTTGAAACCGAGAGAAATCTCAATGTATCTTTCCTGTTAAAATATTTTATAAATAAAATATATATATTTTTAAATATAATAGAAATTGTCATCACTATCTGTCACATACTATTTGTCTTTGCCCTTATAATGATGGAATTGAAAAAGAAAATGTAAAAAAATTTTTTTTTTGTTTTTCCCTCTTAGTAAATGATGACCAATCACGAGCTGACAACAGACAGCGCAATTCAAGAGAGACTAAAGCGAGGACATCCGATAGCTCTCTACAGGTTATTATTAAACATTTTTATTAATACATAAATATGTAGTGTAAAGGTGTTTACATGGATAGCTGGAGATAGGTTGAAGGAGTAATTATGAGCTGAAAAATCCAAAAAGCTTACTTTTATTCTGGCAAGTAATATAAACCTCCAGACTGACATCACAACACATCATGCTTGGTGTTTTGCACTGTGAGGTGCTTAACCATAAACAACCTGTCCCAGAATAAACAATTGTATGCTTAGCAGAGGAAAACACTTTTCATATAAGATGAATAGTTGTTTATATAGCATTGCATTATTTATTGTGTGTCCTCAATTAAAGGAACACTATAGTCACCTAAATTACTTTAGCTAAATAAAGCAGTTTTAGTGTATAGATCATTCCCCTGCAATTTCACCGCTCAATTCACTGTCATTTAGGAGTTAAATCACTTTGTTTCTGTTTATGCAGCCCTAGCCACACCTCCCCTGGCTATGATTGACAGAGCCTGCATGGAAAAAAAACTGGTTTCACTTTCAAACAGATGTAATTTACATTAAATAATTGTATCTCAATCTCTAAATTGAACTTTAATCACATACAGGAAGCTCTTGCAGGGTCTAGCAAGCTATTAACATAGCAGGGGATAAGAAAATCTTAATTAAACAGAACTTTCAATAAATAAAGCCTAAATATTGCTCTCTTTACAGGAAGTGTTTATGGAAGGCTGTGCATGTCACATGCAGGGAGCTGTGACTAGGGTTCATAAACAAAGGGATTTAACTCCTAAATGGCAGAGGATTGAGCAGTGAGGCTGCAGGGACATGTTCTATACACCAAAACTGCTTCATTAAGCTAAAGTTGTTAAGGTGACTATAGTGTCCCCTTAAGGGAATGCTCCAAGTACCATAACCATTAATGTGTACTCTGTTCTTTGGGAAAGTACATATGTCACTTAATTTAATTTGTAATTTTAAGCCTAAATACTGCAATCCAAGACGCGGTCATGTGGAAATGATAGTTGAGAGCATGTCTGTGTACTTTTATAATTGTATGGTCTTGTGCGTGTGAACATTTGAAATAAATCAGTGTTTGTTCATTTCAGATCCGGATTGACTGCAATAACGAGAGAAGTGTACATACTAAAACTCTGCAGAATGCATCTATTGAGGGCAACCGCTTGCGCTCTGGCAAAGATCGCATCCTAAAGAAGGAGAAACCAGAGGTGGTGGATGGCCAACAATTGGTGGTTAATGGTGTCCCATAACCGTACATGTCTAAAGTCATCACAATCTGAATAAAATAAACGTAATTTGCATTAGAGAAACCTGTTAGGCCAAAGACAAATGGGCAAGACGATGCAGGGCATAAAACAGAGCCACTGTTAGCCTTCTTTCGTTTGCATTGGCTGTTAACAGTTTTCAAATGTCAGACATTGGGAACATATTCAAACCTTCTGAGGCTTTCAAGTTCATATTGCACTTGACTTAAAAAATATTTTTTGTTTAAAAGAGAAAATAAATGGGAAAAATACTAAGATGTGTGTTGGTTATACTTGTGTTCAGTTGTACCGTTTTCAGGCAGCTGATTTAAAAAGAAAAATCATATCTATATTTCAAACTTCAAATTGAATAGCAGATGCGTTAATTCAGACGGTCTTATGTTTCCAATTATGCATCATGTCCTATGTCCTTTTACAGTTTTGGCCCATTCTACAGTGTCTTAGTGGGACCTAAGATTTGTGTAATTACAAACTGTCATTTTCATTGGCAAAAAGAAAAAAAAGTTGTATGATCTGTGCCTTTTTTATATCTTGGCAGGTAGGGGAATTATTTGGATGCAGGAAGTAAGGGAGATTCTTTGAAAATACTAAATGTAAAATATATGTAGCAATCTCATCATTAGAACTTTTTAGGAGAATGCATGCTTTCCATAATGTTTTACATACTTAAAAATCAGCCTCAGCTACAGAAAATGTAGAAATTTGGTTTTTGCACTGAAAAATTAGCAATGAATAGTCATGACAAGGACACATGTCTTTTTATAGACATAATTGTTGAGGAATTTTTATGTCTTGAAAGATTAAAATATCTTTTCTTTTTCACTTTTTTTTTTTTTTCTTAGAGGTGAATGCGTACCTATTTACAAAATAGTCTTCGTTTGGCCTAAACTGATCTGTTTTTTTTTTTTTTTTTTTTTTTTTAATATATATATTTTTTAATTTCTTCCTACTGTCAGTTTTTTTTTTTTCATCACTTTCAAAGGGAGAGTAAATGCTTGCATACACCACAAGCCTTTAGACAATACAGGTATTGGATGGGCTTTGTATCAATGAAAGTGTTTTCAGGTTCAAGAAATGCATGTATGCTGTACCTGGTGTATTGTAACTGCAGGTAATGATACATATAGAGGGAGGAATTCAGATTTTTACTTTGATCATTTCTGATGAATTTGAAATCGGCTCACTACTGGAACAACTGTGAGACAGTTTTCCCTATCTTCTTTCAAACTCCAGTTGGTTCCGTCTTGGTTATCAACCTTTTATATGCAGAGATGTACAGCTAAACCATGTGTCTGTATGACGTGAAGATAACTATTCATTTGTTTCATATTATTTCCTTATCTTCCCTCCCTCTTTTTGCTCTTGCATACAAGTGAATATACAAAATGGCAAACACTGCACAAAATTAAACCATTATTAAATATCTCTAAAATGTCTAGTATTGCCAAACACTAATGTTGATTTCTCGTTTATTTATTTTGGGAATGTATAATAATCGGAATAAACACACAAAAATGGATCCTTTCACACATCATCTGTATGCTGTTTTGGTTAAAATACTGTAGATACTTAACCAAGGTAGACTAACCTTGTGATGCTCTTGGGGCAATACCTCTGTATATATTAGCTACAACAGATTGGATTTTATGTTAACATTTGTTTGGTTATAGTGCAATATATTTTGTATGCAAGCAGTTTCAATAAAGTTTGATCTTCCTCTGCAACCTGATGTGGGTTGAATGTTTAGAATTTTTAAATATTCAAACCTTCTCTGAAATAACTCACTTTTTGTAGCTACTTGATGTCTTATTTATGCTCATTTAGTGACTTTCAGCTATTACTCGGACACATTTTAAGCTGCGTTCTAGGACGACTTACGAAAACATTTGATCTAGAAACTTTTTACTAACATTTTTTAAGTTAAAACATTTTCTGGTTATTTTTTTGCTCATTTTTCAAAAGACTGTAGGGACATGCCTTGCAAAATTCATAATTCTTTGATGCAAACGCTGAATATCTTAAGATTAGTATATTTTCCACTGGCAAGTGATCTTTCTGATACTATTTAATCTAGTTTTCCAACAACCATTTTGTGTTAAAAAGGTCTGCATTCTAAATAAGTACATATTTTCACCAAACCATTTGAGTTCAGTAGCATTTTTCTAATCTTAATAAAAGTTCTTCAATATTTAACTTTTTTTTTTAAATGCATACTGACATTACAATATAATAAATAATATTAGCATGCATGATTGCAGTCGTACAAACAAGACAAGCAGTTTTAGCCTAGCTCAATTCTGGGGAGGAATCTGGCAAATGAAGGAGACTGTTCTGCACTGTATTATCAAGCTATATGTGCTGCAAATATTTGGATATCTCATTGTAGAAGTTGGGCTTCTCTGTGTAGCGCCACTGGGTAGGGAGATAGCGCTTATGCACTGCATATTAAGACAAAAGTAAAGGAAGTTTATCGGGACTATAGTCACTACAACACTTACAGATTACAGTGCTTGAAGATGGGCGGATTAAATGGGCTGAATGGTTCTTATCTGCCGTTACTATGAAGCTGCCCTTTAAAGTGTCAATGGTGTCGTGTTTACGGAAACCAAAATGCAACAATTTATGCTCGATACCAAATATGTTTAAAGTAAAAAAAAAAAAAAGTTTAGCCACCTAATTGTAAATTATCACTTAGTATTCATTTGCAATGCTTTCTTCAAAACAGGAGCATAATGTGTAAAAGAAGAGAATATACGTTTAATAGTGCAGAAACCTGAATCAATGCTTTCTTGTGGGGTTTTGCACGACGCTGGACATCCTCATGCAATCCATAAAACGGCAGGAATCAACTGTACTGGCTGTCTAATAGACAGCCACTAGAGGCAGTCTTAACCTTGCAATGAAAACATCAGTTTCTCTAATTGAAAAATACTAAATTCGCATATAAGAAATTTTAGTAGTATTTCACAGTTAATGAAATACTGCAAGTCCTGCATTACTAAAACATTCCAAGTACAAATATATGAGAGAACTAAATACCCTTTGTAAGTCTGGGCTCTTTCTTAGCGTACAGGTAACAAACTGTCGTAGATGAACATAAAACTAGTATAAATTTAGAAAACTTGAAACTACTCATAAAGTGCTGGTAGTCGGTTAATTTTGGAGGCCAGTTTCCTTGCTGTGGTGGGACCTGACTTTGTCATGTTAATAGGATGAGTGGTACCCAAGATTCTCTAAGAAATATATTTATATTCTACTATTTATATCAATGGGCAGCTAGGTTAATCAGGACCCATTCCATTGTGCTAACCTTAGAAAAGGCAGGATGTTAAAATGGACTTGACCAGGTGTTGATTAGAATCAGAATGGGCTTATGAATTTGAGTAGTATATAAATTAGAGGTTTTAAAAAGTTATACATTGACTGAATTTTAAATATGGAGATTACATGGTAGTTAATGGCTGTATGACACCGTGTTAATCCATCAGAAGATCTTCAAAGGAGGCGCATAACGATGTAAGTTATTGTAAGCAGAGCCAAATCTTATACTGAGTTGATATGAAGGTTCTGATGTGAAGGAAATTGCGCAGGCAGGACCCTTCATAAAAATCCCAGCCCTTTCTGGGAGCATGCATTAAACCGTGCGTGGCATAACCAACTCCTTTAACGTACATTTTGTTTCTTATAATATCATTCTTCAACACTGCCATATATGATTTTAAAAGCTACACCAGATTTTCTGAATCTCCCACCCCCTTGATTACAACAACCATGGATTTTGTTTCTGAAAAGAAGTATTTTTCTTGGTGCCACAGATGGGTGGAAGACATTCATAAAACAGGGACTTTGGCAATAAAATTCATGGCTATGTGTGACCCTGGGCTCCTCAAGCATCAGTCATATTTGGATCATTGGTTCTGTTGAAATAAGTTGCATCAAACCACAGGGCAGCTTGCATAGCACATTGCTCTCAGCATATACAAAGCAGTGTCACAACAACTAGAGATCGCAACCTTCTTTTGTGTTAGTTCATTAGTACTCTATGGAGAGAAAAATTTGATTTATTTTTGTTTTTGATTTTTTTTAAATGTCCTGCCAATATAGTTTGAACAGAAGAAGCTATTATCTTGATGGTAAGAAAAGTCTGAGCCAGGAGTCCTTCCTTTTCAAGGGAGAATATTGACCAGAGAACGCATTACATGTGTTATGAGTCCCTGGTCTGTAAGATGCAATCTAATTTAATCTAGGAAGACACTAATACAGTATCTTGTTTTGGGAAACATTTTATTTTCAAAGAAAACCAAATCTCAAGGGGTTTATCACCCTCCGGTAGATAACCCAGTCGTCAACACCTAGAATAAGAGTTAGGTGCTAATGACTTTAACAGAACATTGGGCTGTCGAATTAGGCATTTTTCAAGTTTACAGAATATGCAGTACTCTCTAAGTCTTAAAAAAAAAAAAAAAACAATAGGGCATAGGAGAAATGTAGAAAGCTGTTTATTCAGCTATGTGTTTATTCATTTGAGGGACATTCAACGGTGCCAAAAAATCTTTGTATGCCTCTGTTAGTAGCAGTTGGTGCAGACTTTGAAAATCACACCAGACGATACTGTGACAGTTGTCAGTGTTCAGGACGCTGTTACAGGTAAGAATGGTGGTGAGCAATCAAACTGTATGATGGATAAAAAAAATAATTTAAGAATTTTTACTATGGTTCTTCAAATGTAATATTTGCATTATCTAAACAAATATAATTGATGATAATGATCCTGGCCGCTCAGATACACATGCGAACTCCCTAATTGCGCATGTGTGTGTATATATATATACATATATACACACACACACATATACAAAGAAACAAGCACTTATTATGGTTCTGTGATATCTGTCAAAATTAGAAGAATAAACATCTGTGTCTTTCAGCAATGTTTTTCAAACCAATCAAACCTTTTTCTTTTCATAGAATGCCCAGATATGTGAAACTTGTAAAATATAAAGTAAGTAGAACAAGGCTTAATACAGCTGTTATGTGTGCAATGCATCAAGAAATGGGCATTCACGGTAGTTGGAATCCAGGTGCTTGGCTCCGAGTTTGAGTGTTGGGGCACTTTATAACAGAGGCTGCCCTCTTACTGCCTTCTAAAATATAGATCATAGTTTTGGATCATTGGTTATTCATTAGTATGCTGTTAGAATGCCCAGGGGTTGTTGCTCCGTTATGTTGAGTTTTAATGAAAATGGTTCAGGTTGCTTTAAACAATTATCCCCTATGTAACCTCTCCCCTTGCTAGTCTCATGGCTTGATTGTTGAGTCGCCCATGGCTTACCTTGCCTGTGTTCATGTGGACCCAAAGTAACCAAGCTACCATTCCTCTGGTTGTGTCCTGACTGTCAGCTTGGGTTGTCTTTATTTTTCTCTATTGATTCCTGCACTTAATTACCATTCCTGTCTGTTTCATCCGATCACCCATTTATGTCTGCTACCTGTATTGCTTCACCCTAACTCTGTCAGCCAGTGTTTATTCCCCGTTCTCCGTTTGCCATTTTTCTCATCAATCTTTCACTTCGCCATATTTCTCTGCAAGTAATTTTTATCTGCCTGTCAATGTCCTATATATTACAGTTTCTGTAGGTCCACAACCTTTTGTGCACCTGTTCTGACCATCCTCCTATGTTACCTTGGACCTCTTATTTTTGCTCTGCATTTCCTTTTGTCTATTTTTCCTTTGTACATACATGAAGCATGCACCTGTGTTTCACATTCCACGCTTTTGATTCACATTAAATAGAATGAAAAACAGGTAAAGCTATTGAATTTTCAATAATATTATGTACTTGAGTTACAAGAAAAATCGTGTAGCAGGTGACTGACAGGAAACATAAAGGCCCTTTAGAAACTGATCTGGGAAATTCAT